GATGTTAAATAAAGAAGAATTCACGTACACATTACTCATTGCATTTGCCAAAAAAGCCATATCATGTACACGATCCAGAACTGTACTCATGGCAAATATAGATCTTTTGAAATTTTTTTGTTGGTCGATTACAATTATGTCGTGAGGAAATTGTTGAACGAATTTTAGTTCCGATTTTCGTAGAGATCAGCATTTGTGTGACCTATGCAAAATGACACCGTATATTTAAGTCATGTATTGGAAGAGACATGTGATAGCACTAGGTGGATGCAAAAATTTAAAATAAATTAGTCTCCAAGCAAATAAAATTCTGTATTATTCTCGGGATCAAAATTAATTAGGAACCAATAATAATAAATTTATGCAACAGCAGCGCAGTGGTTCATTTAAAGCTGAAACTGAATAAGTGTCGTGGTAACAGATTAAGTGTCTTGGTTAGAAATAAACTGCAGGTTTATTTCTAACCAAGCAGGCCTCGTCCAATCAGACCCAAAAAGTTCAGTCATACCCTTTTAAACATTAACAAATTTCTTAAATGACGAAACACGACTGAAATCTACCAGCCTCAATGGAAGAAATGCTAACATTGCCCAGAAAAGGTAACCAAATCCATATGGAAGGTGAAATATATAAATCTATTCGGTTTGACAGCTTGGGCAAATATAAATCAAATAAACTCAGTAAAATAACGCTTCGGTGTAGTTAATTTAATACAATAGTATATTGTAATAAATTAGATAGTATATCGCATCGCATTCACAGATCTCCGACCGAGGTAAAAAATGTTAACACAGCTGTAGATTTTTGTTTACTTAAGCGTCGTGTTGCCTAAGGCATGCAGGCATGATGGAAAAAAATTAAAAAATAAGAAAAGAACGTTGAATATTGTGCTTGAAGAATGGCGTCATCTTAATAATTTTGTGTTATATTGAAAAAAAAAAAAAGACTAGATGCAAAGAGACTATTTCGCATGCTCAGTGAGTGAGACAGACTTCCATTCAAAACTTCAAAGTTTATTGATATTTAATCGAAAATTTGAGGGATTGTAAGAATAGGAACTTTAGGTCTTTTGAAAGTAAGACAACTCTTTAAGTTTTATTTCAAAGAAATTTTACTTCTTATGTAGACAAACTGAGGACATATGCTTATGTTCAAAGTTTACATAGTAACTTATATTAATGTCATTGTCTGTACCAATAATAGAGATAAATAAAAAGACGGATGAATCGAAGTAACGTTCACATGGGACGTTAAAATTGCGTTTTTTTCAATGATATTATATTCAAATAGTAATCGAGGTAGATATGACGACACTAGCCAACGGACACTAAGCACTGACCAGTTACGCCAATTGGTGTAATTAGATTGCAATCCTATAGATTGTTATCTCATTCCGTATCATAACTTCTATAATATCATGTGTCACATTAACTTATATAATTACTAGCGACCCGCCCCGGCTTCGCACGGGTGCAATGTATTATACATATAAACCTTCCTCTTGAATTGCTCTATCTAGTAAAAAAAACCGCATCAAGATCCGTTGCGTACTTTTAAAAATCTAAGTATACATAGACAGACAGCGGGACGACTGTTTTATACTATGTAGTGATGTCGTATAATGTAAAGAGGAACAATTTTAAACGCCGCGCAATACGGACATGCGTGTTTTTTATTAAAACATTGATTTATTCAGATAAATTTGAAAAACGAATGCAGTAATTATTGTAAAGTATTTATGGTAATGCCTAGAAGCGTGTTTTTCCTGAAGCGAAGACATTAAATATTCGCATTGCAGGCACTGTCACGTAAAAAAAAATAGCCAAAGTATTTTCGGGATTTTTTCTAAGACGGTGGCAATCGATCTGGCGGTTCACCTGATGTTAAGTGATAACCGCCACCCGTTGATATATGGCTTATGCGTTGCCACCTTTTAATAAAATGGGCCACCAGACGAAACGCAGAAATATAACACTTCCAATCCACGCCGGTCTTCTGTGAGGTCGTCTTACTTCCTACGATTCGATCGATTTCATAAATTGATTTTCATTTTTGGCGTGACTGTCATTTACAAAGGAGAGTGCAATAAGTCGTGGCTAGTGTTCTTTTAGAGTTTATTTGTTGTTAGAGTAATATACAGGCAAATAATGGTAATAGATTGTAACAACAAAAATAGTGATAGATGGAAAAGAAAAGGTCGATTGCATAATGAAGAAGTTGTTTCGCGTTTGATCGCGATTGAATGATCTCGAATTTATTATGAAGAAAATTTATCTTAGTTGCTTATCGCGGGTAGATAATAAAATTATAAAGGCATACCGTCCTAATAAACGTGGTTCTCTTTTCCATCATATCTTATCCTTTAAACGAGCAATTCTTGTATATATATATTATATGTATAATCGGAATCTCGGAAACGGCTCCAGCGATTTTCATGAAATTTTGTATGTGCGTAGATTCGGGGGCGAAAAATCGATCTAGCTTTGTTTCATTTTTAGAAAATGTCCTTTTATCCCTGTTTTCGCGGAATGAAAAATATCATTCGAATATGACAGTAAATTTCGCCGCAAAATAAAATGTTATAATAGCTCGGTCGGTAATCGGGCGGCCCCAAAACAGACGGCCGTGGTTCGTATCACGATCTTATTTTACTTACTTTTTTTTCTATACCAGATCATTTTCTTTATTTTTTATTTTTTTTTTATTTCCAAAATACATAATTTACAAAAAAAACACCGAGCAAAGCTCGGTACTCCAGGTACTTTATTTTGATACGAGAAACTTCGAGGGAGTTATTTTCATTACCGCCTTAGTTTTTTTTAATAGCAAGAGTTTTATCTAGCATGGGGTGAACTTAAGTCTTAGATAAACTATTTTAGAGAACATTGAACAAGCGATCCAAAGAAAAGGGTCGATTAACTATTGTATAAACAGGCCTTTAACGACACGCAAACATCGTGTGAATTTATTTCAAATGCCTAACATAAGGATGATGTATTGAGAGGGGTCGTGGGTTCGATTCCCACACGGGACTACTATTTGTGAGACCCACAGATAGTTGTTTCGATATTTGTCCGCGTGAAATTTATGTTTGTAAAACGTCCTTACAACACAGGTTAATGTTACCCTTAAGAAAGGGCATTGTAGAAATAAATAAAATTAAAACCAGAAAGGGAAGAAAGGTGACAATTACTGCGTAAGAAAACAAACTTGAGATCGACCAATAAGAACGCTGTTGTGTTTATCTTACAGTCTCTATGAAAATTATGCATTCAACTAGACCTCGCAACTGACGCTATCAGATATTGGGTAACATTCAATATATTTTAGAATGAACACAATACACCTTTTATTCTTTTGTTTTAGCTTATTTCGACGTATTTTTTTAAAGCTTCTTGCACAAGTGAAAAAATCGCGGGTGGTTTCAAAAATACGAATATAACACTAACGCAAAATATACCTAGACTAAGTGCAACTATTCATTGACCACAGACTTTTTTGCCTATATCGAACCAACGCTGCAGACTGAACACATAAGCCGTGCATAGACGTATGCTTGTGTTAATATTTATAACATTTTTCTGTCATACATTGCGTACAATCTTTTTTTGAGCACCAGCTGATACCCGCGTCTTCAACTGCGTTGCTTATTATATCAACAGTGCAATGAGGAAAAAACAACTTTGCTAACAAGATTTTACGATAAATAAAAATCTTTTTAATAACTTTACATTAAACTAGCTGAGCCGGAAAACATTTTGCCATATAAATTATTTGTAGGGTAGAAAAAAATGTTTGGAGGTTCCCTTAACATTTAGGGAGCTGAAAAATAGATGTTGTCTGATTCTCCACCCTGGCCGATATGCACACGAAAATCGGTCGAGCCGTTTCGGAGAAGTTCAATTACAAACACCGTGACACGAGAATTTTATATATCAGATGAAGATATCACAATATTTTATTTTTAAATACGGAACAAGTGTCTATGAAAGAAAACTAAGAAGAATTAATTGAAATCTATGCAGTAGTTCTTAGAGTGATTAGCGAACACAACGGCAGACAATGATTCTATGTATGATGATCGAAATTTTTAGTCCTTAGATAATTTTCTATATACGCATCCGTAAAATAATAACGAAACTCATGGCAATATTTTATTGACAATAAAATTCAGATCCAACTCTTGGAGGACGCTGGGGATCGATGGTCTCACAGGCTCTGCGCATGTGCAGTGCTCGGATTAGGAGCTTTGGCATCATCTAAAATGGCCGCCGATGTAACAGTTATATTGATTTGTCACCATAACTATTACACTTAACACTTTAAATAAGAAATACTTCAAATTTTAGCTTTACAATGTTACCTTAGTAAGAAGATATAACGCGAAAAATAAATCGTTGCAATTAATTGTTGCTTATTAAGTAAAATATCTAAGACTGTGTTACTTAATGAATAAGATTGACAAATAAAATAATTAGGAAAAGATGTAAGAAGGGCGCAATCGATCGTGATAATATACAACTTGTATTTCTTTGCTCTATATACGAAATAAGAAATATTTAGTCTCTTTACGATACCAATATAATCTTTCCTTCTAATTAATATCTCGACTACCTAGAAAGAGTTTGATTGCGTATCTATACTAGGAGGGAAAGTTAATTTATTTTCTAAACGATCACTTCGCCCCGCTAGAAGGACTATTCGGGTATCTCAAAGTAATAAAGGAGAATGAAAACAAGCGAATATCGCTGCTACGTCAGTCGATAACGTCGATACTTACAACATAATAGTGAGAACCTAATAATTTCTTGTATTTACGCGATTACGCATTACTAAATGAACGCTGTAAAGGGTTAGAAACGTCGGGAATTAAGGCCAAAAATAAACGCGATAAATCCCTAAACATAGTTTTATTTTGTATAGTGAGCAAACCGCCTAAAGTAGAAATTCTAGAACAGTTCAAACTGGCTGGACTCGGGAATAACGCTAGCGGTACTCACGCATTGTGGCGGCTTGTAGGCGCGTTGCGTCCGTTGCGAGGGGCAGGGGAGACGTGTCGCCCCTGGGCTGGTGTCGGAGAAAATGGACGAGAATCGGTGGCGGCGTTGAGAGGAGGGGTCGGCCGGGGGGAGCCGGCCGCGCATGCTCGATGGGGTCGTAGGTCCCATTTGTTGGCGACGCCCTTTTATTGACCTCTGCCGGACGCCGCGGAATAGCGAACCCCGGTGATCGTCGCGATTTACATCACTCAATATGACAGCGATTCGTGCGAGTTAGAGCTCGGTTGGTTATGTGTGAATTTAGTTTCGGTTTCGATTAATGTCTACTCCAATCTGATTGCTTGTCCATCGTGTGCACCGAGTTATTTACATTGACGCTTAGCTTTAACTCAGTTCATTTGCGGGGTTCTACGAGTATGTTAAAGTTTTATTTACAAGACTGCGATTTTGTTAAGAAACAATATAATGTACGTCAGTGCTGTAAATAAAATTTGTGACGGTAAAACGACGAATCTACGGCACAACGACAATAATTCTTTATCGAAATGAAATTATAAGATATAAAACAGTATGATAATGGTTATATTCTACAATGTAGCTTAAAAATTGTGGCGGTCTTTTACTAATATGATAAATCTGCATGAGATAGAACGTATAACGGATGAGATTGGTCATCGGCATTGTTCATCGGTCAATGCTCTAGTGTAGTTTTGAGCTGTAATGAACTACTTTCAGTACACAAATTACGCCATCTACACGCTAGGGGATGTAAGTTTTTGCACCCCTAATTCACGTGCCAGAGGGCTTTTCAGTGGCGCCATCTGATTAAATGTTCCTTCAACTGTCGTTCACATTTTTTGCGTTACAAGAAAACCTGCACAAACTTTGTATAAGGTTTATGCAGTTTAGGTACTGTTACTGAAAAAGTTTTATGTTGACATTATATTATCTGCTTACTAAGTTCTTATATGTCCCATTGCAAGGAGCGCAGTAAATTCACAATCATTCGTACCGGCAATATTTAGGAGAAATCTTTATCGACTTCTTATGAGCTGTGATGTTGATCAAAGGCAGTATGACTATAAATTTTAAATACCTGAATGTAGTTCGTATATCTTTAGCAATCTCGGCTGAGCGAACATGTCTGAACCCTTATTTATTTATAGTAATGCATAATTATACAATATTCTCGACAGAATTTTAGTAATTTACATAATATGTAAGAAAATTCCTTTTGTTAATACAAATTGTTTAAAATAATTGTTTAAATGTGTCCGTAGTCATTATAGTTCGACGAAATCTCACTAGATGGAGTTTAGCTAGATGTTAAGAGAAAAAAATTAAAAGCTCCTTAATTTTTTCAGCTATTTTTGATTTAAATTGTCAAATCCTTTTCTTTTCGTTTATAATAACTGCTTCTTTGGTTGAGAAATTAGTGTTAATATGACACTATAAAATGGACAAATCATTAAAAAGACACGTTAAAGTTATCTTTAGAAGGGTTAATTTAATTATTTTGGTTAATTATTTAACTGTGGTAGGTGTTCACTGTTGCACAAATGGGCAGGTCTATCCGGCTAAGTACCACGACCCCACAGAAGACCGTCGTCTCGTCTCAGGTCTCTTGAGTGAGGTAGCCGGTGCCCACTTAATTAATGGTGACAACGCATCTGCAACCCTACGTGTGTTGCAAATGTCCATGGGCAGCGGTTATCACTTAACATCAGGTGAACCGTCAGCTCGTTTGCCACTTTGTCACAAAAAAAAAATTAAAATGTAACCTAACTACAGATTAAAACGCAAACCAAATCGTTTCGGAATCAGAGTCGAGCTCGGTAGCAGCGTTTCGAGGACAGTGAGCGATCGCGTTGCACACAATGAGCCTCGACGCGTGGCGACCGTTGCGATATATTCAAATTCCTGGGCACAGGGCCGGATTCAGGGGGGGGGGGGGGGGGGGGGGGGGGAACCGGGGACCAGCACCGGAGCCTCCACAAAAGAGGGGCACAATAGGGACTTCGAGAAAAATTCTCAAATTCAGACTAGTAAACACTAGTAAACAACTTTAGTAGAAAACGTTCCTTTGGAAAATAATTTGGGGCCAAGAGGCCTCCCCACACCTTTGTTGCCCCGAGGCCTCCAGACCTCTAAATCTGGCCCTGCCTAGGCACTTGCAAAACGGAGCCAGAAACTAGCGAGAGGTGCGTTGCCAACGCGTTCGTGTCACGCGTGGTTTCGCATTGAGATTGGCGACTTTTGCACATACCACGGCGCCTTCTACGCGCCCGTCGCACGCTTGGTAGCTGTCATTAGTTTTTTTGGAAGGCTAAGTGTCGTTTCGTAGAATCATTATCGACTGTCGACACGCTCGGACAGTTAATGTCTTTCCTGAATTATAAGAGAAACCTTGCCCGTGTTCAATTGTCGCCTGCGTACGATTAATTTGTACGTTCACATGGACACGTTTACATGTAACTTTCATAAGTATAAAAGAAAACAGACGGATAAGTTTTAACATATTTATCTTGGTACCAAATCGGGTGAGCTTGTCACCGGACAAGTTTGTGACACTTAAGGCTAATGAAAACAATTTAGCAGCTATAAAGTTTAGAAGTAATTGCATCACTAGGTTACTCAATCAGTTGTATAATATTTAAATAAAAAAAATGAATTACAAAAAAGAGGATACCTACGGAGTTTCTTTTCCGCTAGAGGAACCTCATTACGAAACGGTGGTAGATTAAAAAAATATGACTATCGATAGATGAAATGTAAGTTTCTTATGTCGATGAATGAAATGATTTTGATTTTGACTCCTTTTTAGGGTTCCGTACCTCACAGAAGACCGGCGTGAAGTGGAAGACTCTCGTCGGGTAAACGAGGTAGCCGGTGCGCACTTTGTTATAAGGTAGCAACGTATCTACAACCCCACGTGTGTTGCTACTATCAATGGGCGGCCGTTATCACTTAACATCGGGTGAATTGTCACCACGCTCGCGACCTTCTCAAAGAAAAAAATCAAAAGTGTATCATCCATCCTGGATGTGTTGAAAACAAAACGATTGATTTTAAAAAGTTCTCTTCTTCTAAAGATAAAAAAAAAAACATGAATTCTATCACTAATAACTCCATTTATAGGCTTCTAGAACATTCAACACAATCAAAATAAAACGTACTTAATGCTCGACGCCGCCGTCTGTTCATTACGAAGTGTGTAATGTTAAAAATAAAAACTGTAATTATATTTTTAGACGCACACGCCGGCGTCATCACCCGGCGCGAGCTTATCCAATTACGACCGGCGGTCCCGTCCGGTCTGACCACTTGAGTGCGCCGCTGCAGCGATAAGGGAAGATGGACGGGCCCGACCTTGAACACTCGAACTTGACTCAGAACGCTGGGGAATTTCGCGAGGGCGTATGAAGCCGTAAGCTGCCGAGGCCATCGCTGTCGACGTGTACTAGGGCATTGTATTATGTAGCCGTAGATCGATTTGAACGTTTGCACTTAGAACTTTTTTTTTATGTGAGAAATTGGCATACGAGCTGGCACTTCACCTGATGTTAAGTGATAATTTTGATTGGAATAGGACATTTGCAACACCCGTAGAGTTGCAGATGCGGTGCCACTTCTTAATGAAGTGATAGCCCCGGCTACCTCGCTCACCAGACGAAACGCAGAAGAGTAACACTTCCACTTGACGCCGGTCTTCTGCGAGGTCGTGGTACTAACCCGGACGGACCTGCCCATTCGTGCAACAGTGAACACTGTTGCGTGGCCCTACGACCGAAAAGAGACGAGAGTAGTAGTTAAGGAAAATAATAGCATGATTTAATGATTTTTTTACGTAAGATGGAAAGTGCGCTGGCGGTTCACCTGATGTTAAGTGAATACTTCCGATCACTGACATTTACAACACCCATAGTGTTAAAAATGCGGTGGCACCTATCGATAAAGTGGTTACCACACTAACAAGAAGAAACGCAGAAGTATAAAACACATATACTATTTACGCCGGTCTTCTATGAAGTCGTGGTATTCTGCCATTGGATCTGCCCATTCATTCGACACTGCGTGGCCCTACCACAGTATATGAAAATCATCGGCCACGTGCGAGTTGGACACGCGTACGAAGGGTTCCGTACCATTATCGATAAAAACTACAAAAAAATCATGTCTGTTGTATGGGAGCCTCACTTATTTTTTGTTATAGCGGCAACAATACATCATCTGTGAAAATTTCAAATGTCTAGCTATCACAGTTCATGAGATACAGCCTGGTGACAGATGGACAACGCCTAGGCCACTTAAATTAAATATTGTGCATCAAAATATACAAGGCTTAGGCGGCAAAGAACCCGAAATTGAATTGTTCCTTACGAAATTTAATATACATGTCATTTGCTTCACAGAGACATGGTTACATAAGCACTGTAATATTGTTAATATAGAAAATTATAAATTGTTAAGTTCGTTCGTAAGAGTAAATGCTATTCGCGGTGGCTCTCTTGTATTAGTTAGAACTGATATAGTCTGTAAAAATCGACAGGATATAGTGGCACACTCTGTCGAACGTTCTATTGAATTATGCTGCGTTGAGAGTCAACAGTATATCATAGTATGCGTATACCGGCCCCCTCAGGTGATTTCGATCAGTTTGAGTGTGTAATGGATGATGTTCTTAAAAAATTATGTTCAAGTAGTAAATCATTAATAGTTTGTGGAGATTTTAATGTGGATTTATTACAAGTAACACAACTCAGTAAACGACTTTTAAATTTATTTAACTCATTTGAACTTAAAAATCTTTTTCATGAATCAACTCGTGTTACTAACTTATCCTCCTCATGTATAGATAATGTATTCTGTCACAGTGATGTATATGATAAATATGTTATAAATCATCTGAGCTCGGATCACTTTGGGCTAAAATTTTCAATAAATGAAAAAGCTAATACAAGCAAACTTAAGATCAAGTGTAGACCAGTCACTACTAATAGAATAAATGCTTTTAGAGATAAAGTGGCACATCATATGTTAAATAAAGATATAGGAGTCAATAACCCTAATGACTCTTATAGATCAATGGTGGACTTTCTCATATCCTCTTATAATGATACTTTTAAATCGCGCACAATTGTTAAGAATTCAAAATTAAAATTTAGTGA